GGCGCTGAGCATAGGGGTCTGTGAGGAGTTTTAATGGAGGGGGGCGCTGTAGTTCTCAACCTGCAGCCCACATAACACATTGTGGGCCACATATCTGGCCCACAATGATAAATACATTGAGAACCACTGCTCTAGTGCCTCCGTACTGTGGAGCAAGGCTTGCAACATAGCAAAGTGGTGACCTTTACGGCAAGGATATGCCTTTTGCTGCTCCACTGAAAATTCACCCAAATTTGGCCAAGTCTTTGAAAAATCTCAGTTCAAAGAGGCAACGGGCAGCTTTAACACTGGCATTCCCTAACTCTTGAGCGCTTGACTTTGCAACCTTAATGTTCTTTTAATGTTGTCTTTTGGATATAATAAATAATAGTCCTGTGAAGCTCCAGAACGTACTGGCATTGGGTGTGTTTTAAGACAGGAAGCTGCAAGTCGAGTGCCCTGAATCACCCAAGACCTGCAGCAATCTAGCATTTCTTGAGATGTTTCATTGACTTTAGAAGATGTTATGTGGTTACATGTTAGCAGCGAGACCTGGCTCATGCTGCTATACTCTATACCAGGGGTCGGCAACCTTTCAGAAGTGGTGTGCCGAGTCTTCATTTATTCACTCTGATGTAAGGTTTCGCGTGCTGGTAATACATTTTAACGTTTTTAGAAGGTCTCTTTCTATAAGTCTATAATATATAACTAAACGATTGTATGTAAAGTAAATAAGGTTTTGAAAATGTTTAAGAAGCTTCATTTAAAATTAAATTAAAATGCAGAGGCCCCCGGACCAGTGGCCAGGACCCGGGCAGTGTGAGTTCCACTGAAAATCAGCTCGTAGGTTGCCTACCCCTGCTCCATACTAAATCAGTCCTGACTTTCATAAGCCTGTCAGTTTTCTTCTTCCATATGACTCAATTTATAATAATGCAATGCTTTCCCTGCCATCCTAGAAATAAGAGTAGGGGGATTTGTAAAGTTTACCTATGTCAGCAGCACTTCTGTGCCTCATCAGCTTGTTATCAGAAGACTATTCACTCTGCAGCATAGGATAACACCTCTGTCTGTGTTCACCCTGCAGTGCTGACAGGAGATCAAGCTGTCCTAGCTATCTCTAAGTCTAGCCACACTCCACTTAAGCACAAAAGCATGCAGTCAAGTTAACTTATTTGGATAGAGTCTGGAGTGATTAAGCTGTCTCCAAGCCTTCTCAGAGCAAACTGATTGTTCTGATTTGCACACTTCATTTGAGCAAGGTGAGCTTCTCTCCAGCAACGCATGACCCATCACATTTGCAAATGAGAATGCTCATTTCTGTCTTCTCTAGTTTAAAAAGGCATCTGAACCCTTTATTGGTACTCCACCTTCTGGTAAGATTTATCCTACAATTATATTCGGTATAATTCACAGCAAGATAAGAGTCATGGAGATACACATCTCCTGACACAATGGGCCAGATCCTCAGCTTATGTAAATCAATGTAGCTTCACTGAAGTCAATGGAGCTATGCCCATATACATCAGCTGAGGATCTGGCCCCCAAAAGCCCAGTGACATGGCAGGCAAGTGGCAAATTCAGATTTTCTTTTGTTAAACAGAAAAATGCCAGAGGAGGCAAAGAAACAATACACAGTAAAGCTGCTGCTTCTTCAGGTCAAACACCTTTGATCGAAACGACATAGTTGAATCAAACTGACTTGCTCCCAAATTGAAATCCCAAGATTCTTCCACACTTGAAAAAGCATGAAAAATCTCCCTTCTGCTTTGGATGGATTTTTGCCTTATCAGCAGAAACAGGACCAGTTTAACAGAAAGGAGGAGGAAGTTCTCTGAGATAAAGTCATTAGGGACTTTTCAGTATTGATTCTCCAGAGGCTGGGCACAGGACTGATAAATTTTAAAATGTCAGTGGCATGAACTCAAAGCAAAGGACTTTGATTATAGGGTCTTTAAGACTAAGGAGAGGATGAAGCTCTGAAAGGAGGAGGACGGGTGACGAGAGAGTGAAGGAGCTGTAAAAAGAAAGAGGCTATTCCTTTCACTCAAAGGCAATGAATATTTGTCTGAAAACATTAGAAAAATGGATACATCTGGCTTAGAGAGTAGAGGTGGTCAGAAATTTTTCACCAAAAACTTTTCTCTGAAAATGCCGATTAATCTAAACCCAAACTTTTCCCAGGAAAGGGTCAGTTCTGACAAATTTCTTGACTCGAAAACATTTTGAAAAAAGGTTTTGAAGTTGTCAAAACTTTTCATTTCAACATATTCAAAATGAGAAATTCTGGTTTTCCAGTCTGAAATGACTTTTCATTTTGAAATATAAGCTGATTATAGTAAAAATTAAGAATGAATAAAAATGATTGAAAGCTAAAGGAAATGTTTCAAAATTACTGAGATGAAATGTTTAGATTCCAACTTTTTATTAAAAAAACAGATTTTCAGTTTGTAAAAATTTTTGAGATTTTGCTTTTTCAAATTTTTTGAAATCTCAAAAACTTTTGCAGAACAAGAAAACCATTTCCTTTCTAGCTCTCTTATAGTAGGAATCTGATTTCTAATTTTAGCCAGATTCATAGACTGTTTATCAGACTCTATTGACCTAACAAAGTTCATGGTAACAATATACTTCTATGTACCATTTATTCTGACAGATCCCAATACACTTTAGAAGCTATGGGCTAGATCCTCAACAAAGTTCCCCTGAAGTCAATGGAGCTACATCAATTTACATCACCTGAGGATCTGGCCCTATATATAAACCTCCATCCCTTAAACCTCCGCAACATAAACTCTAAATAGAAGGAAATGCCATGGGACAACCTCTTAACCATATTCTAATGTTCACCACAGCATGTTTCTTCTGACAATAACAGACTCCATCTCATCACAAGGAACTTACTTCTGCCTCCTACTTATAGGGAAGCATGATACACACAACACATTAACTTCTCTTGCAGTATATAACACAAAATTGTAATTATAACTTCATGTGTTATAACATGACACACTGCACACTTAACTTGTGTACATGTGTCAATCTGAATATTTGCTAATGTTGCTGAGGCTGTAATTAAGGTGTTGTGCTATATAGTGAAGGAGATTAATGACTTGTGTGTAGTTCTCCCCCACACTGAAGATAACAGTTACTGTAGTATCATGAAGGAGATCTTGGCTGAGGATCTCAAGGTCCCGGCTTCAAACCTTGATAACAATCCACCTGGGGTATCCTTTAGATTGTACATAATATAATTAAACAACTACATTTATTTAATTCACACAGTGAGAAAATGTAGTGAGGGCACAAGTCACTCCAATCCCCTTGGGGAGTTTCAATCCCATTGTAAATTAGAGGAAATGGCAGCCATTTTGAGTAAAGGAAAGTTGTGAACATAATAGAAAAGATAGGCGAAAGCAACTGATACTAAATTTGCTTTAATTACAACCTAATTTCTTCACATGTGCATTCAAAGGTAGCTGGCACTGAATGTTAATTATATGGAATGTCTGAAGGACAAAAATCTGGCCATTTGTTAGTAGAATGGGTATGAAAAAAAGTCAGAACATTGTCTTAATAGTCCCATTTTTAATTAATTTGAACTCAATTTTCAACTAAATCTGTTACTTAGAGTTCACATTTCAATCTTTACTCATAGATATCTCACACACACACACGCAGCCACCCCCAGAGAGAGAGAGAGAGAGAGAGAGAGAGAGAGAGAGGCATTGCATTGCAAGCTGGATAGCCGTGGGAGGAGAGGAAGGTATGATCAATGAAAGTGACAATCCACCTACTTTTACAAAGAAGTGTCATAGGACCTTTAATGTCCATGGAGAGCAGACAGGATCTTGGTTTTGAAGGTTTCAACTGGATGATTTCTACACATGAAAGTGCTTGGAACTCAATCTACCTCAGAAGGAGCAGAACCTTCTCAGTATCCAACCTTTGGTTTCAGGCATCCTAAGTATTGTAAGCCTGGTTATTTGGATATGAGTCATCCCCTTCCAGTAGATAAGGCTAGATGGAATAGGGCAGGACTGAATTTTCGATTGTAGAAAGCCAGGTTCAACCAGTCTTAGGTCAGCAGGTGAAAAGACTTTGGAGCCCTCACTCTAGTTTTGTACACAACTACAAACACATGATGACTTGGTACAAATATCTATCAGCCTGGCGGGGGAGTGGGGAGAGAGGCTAAAGACTAGAACAGAATGAGACGATCCAAGTCAGGATGAAAGTAAATTCACAAAAGGGGTGAGGCAGGCCTAGAGGGTGCTTAGACAGAGCTGTGTGAGCATGCAGCACTGGAATAGCAGTGGGGGCTTTGAGTCAGGATTAGGGTGCAGTGACAGAGCTCTGTGGGGAGCCTAGGACTGGGATAGCAGGTGGGGATTGTGTTGCATTGGCAGAAATGTGTGGGGAGTCCATGACTGAAACAGCAGGGGCGTGTTGAAGGCACCGGATTGTGGTGCACTGGCAAAGCTGTTTGTGGGAGGATGGGTGAATTTCAAAGCCCCTGTCTATTGCAGTTCCCAGCCACAGTTCATAAAATTTCTTCTTTTATGGATACCAAATAAAATAAATTCAATTATCAAAAAGGACAATAACAACAACAAACTGTACAACAACCTTAAACAATTGTTTAATGTTGGAATTTCCCATGGTTTTTTCCAGGTCTTTGAATCACTGGTGATTGTTAGGAATAAGCATTTTGTGGTCAGGCCCCAAACCTGGGTGAAATAATGAAAAAGTGTGGCTGGCCCTCATTTTCTTTTTGTTGATGATTGGAAGGGGTGTATTGCTCTAGAAGCTGATGTTATGCTTCATACAATGGCTTGGCCAGTCCTGTCCCTTAATGACCTTTCCTTGCACTTAAAAATAAGACACAAGTCTCTTGATAAAGCCTGGAGAGTCTCTCTCTCTTTCCCCACCACCCACGTACAGTCTAGATATCTGGATCCTGGTCACACACTATTCTTCTTTGTTCTAGCAACTGAAGACTCCTGACAGTCCCCACATACCTCACAAATGTCCTTGAGGTGCTTGATATAGTGCCGCTCTGTGCTCATAATTTCATTGATTACGTTGGCTCTCATCTGGTCCCGGTTCTGAAGGGTTCTGCTGAGACAGAGGCAGTCGGTGCTTGGATCCAAATGGCCATTCTGTACTTCGCTGGTTCCTTCCTCTACTCCGTCTTCTTGGTTCACCCATAGCTGTGAGGAAGAAGAGGGAATGACAATACATTTATTAGTAAAAACATCAGGAGCCCAATTAATAAAAATAGACATGGTAACAATGGGAAATTATAGAGAGGAATATTGGAGAAGAAAAATAGGGTAGCAACTTTTAGCTTTCAACGCAGCTTGTCCTCTTAGATGTGGGACCCAGCCTAGTCATCCATGCCTGCATTCCCTCTAGGCTAGACTCTTGCAGTGCACACTGCCTGGGGGCTGGGTCTGATCTAGAAGGCCCCTTGAAATCTGCAGGTAGTGCAGAAAGCTGTTACTCTCTTTCTGAGAAGAGAAAGCTAGAGGGGAGCACATTCTACTTGTGCCCCATGCTCTGAACGGGATGCCATTCCAGATGCTAATGATATTCAAGGTGCTGATTATTAACTGCAAAGGTTCCAATTACAATAGATAAATCTAAATTCATCCCTGCACCAGTGCAGAGCCCAGCACAGGGAACAGCATATGCCTTCCCTATCCTGAGGCTGCCACTGGATGGGGAACAGTTCAGCTGGTTAGGGCAAGGATTAGGGCTGCCCTACATTGCACTGAGATTGCCATAGCCAATATGGGCTATATGTGGTTGCAGGGTAAATAGCTAGGAATGCTCCCCAGCCACACTTCCTCCTGCCTCCGGAACATCCACTATGTCAGTGGCTCCAGCTTGAGATACTGTGGCCAGCCCTGCATTTAGCAGGAAGGCCTCCTGCACCAGGGTGTTGTTCCCTGCAGCATCTTAAAGCCCCTTTGAAGCCATTTTTTTGCACCAGCATGGCTGGCTCAAAATGGCTGCAGCACAGGGCTGAATTCCCTCACTAAATAACTTTGTGTCAGGTCAATTTTGATCCCAAACATAAAATAATAATAATTTAATAAAATGAAGAAGATGCGGTCTAATCAACACTGTAAAGGTCACTGAACCAAAATAAACCCATACATAGAATCAATCCACTTTAAAAAAAGACCTGTTTCAAACGTATATCATTAAAGCTCCTGTCTCTCATATAACACCATTTGGGATCTGCTGTGAAAGGAATAAATCTTTTGAAGGAGAAATAAGCTGTTTGCTTTCGCCACAGGAGACTGATTTGAAAAGGGCAAAGTACGTCTGGTTCAGAAATCTGAATGTATCTGAACTTCATTTCAGTCTAAACCCTGATGGGACATTGAGGTTTACGTAAACGTTATAGTATATGTCTGAATGAATACTGATTTTCATTCCAATTGCCGTTTCTTCTGATCCTTATGTTTCTCACAAAAAACCTGCCTCAGTCCGTCAGAATGCCCTACCTTAACATCAAGGGATTCTGTTGCGTTAATTACACCAGGGTCCATAGCCAATTCCTGGGATGAACAGAATTTCTGAAAAGTGTTTGTGGAATGAGGGTGAGTTTGGATTGGCTGAACATTCTCAAAGGGTTTGGATTGGCCAGTGAACATTCTAAAGTTGTATCGCTTGCAAAAAAACAACAAATAAGGGTTGCTATGTTCTCAAAGCAGTAAACTTCCCTCTCATCACCAAATAAACATAATATGCAATGATCTCCCAAAATAAAAAGTATATCTGGCTGCTAGCTAATTCTTATGTCTTAGGAAAACCTCAGTGTGTTTGCAAGTACATGAATCTAGTTGTTAATGAAAACCCTCTATTTGTTACATTTGCCGTAAACTAGAAACTGGGTAAAAGGCACTATTAATTAGAGTTGAGTGAATAATGGATTTTTTTGGTTCAGAGATCTACAAATTTACCTTAGTTGTGAGCTTAATTGTAAAAAGTCTATAAAAGTTCATAAAATGTTACAATAACCTATAACAAATGTCAATAAAAAGCAAGTCAAGTTGATTTCCATAATGAATGTTATAAACAGGTACAAAAGAACCAGATAGAGAGACTAAATTACGCCAAACAAAAAAGGCCATGTTGATATAATTCAAGGACTATGTTGAAATCATGCTTAATTAAACATAAACAAAAACAAAAGATGTGGAACCAGAAATTAATGAACCAAAATTGGTGTGTCAGATATTAGGCGTAATTGGTGGACAAAATAACGACGCAATGGGCTATTCTGGCCACCACTCCCATTGTGGGTCCTTAAAGAAAGAGATTTGGGGGGAGAATATAGAAAAACAGATTAAAAGGAAGAACAGACGGAGAAAGAAAGAACAGACAGAGACTACTACAGCAAGGTTCACCATCGTGGTTGCCACCCTTTAACTCCCATTTCCTGGGACCCTGAACCTTCGTTTCCCTAATCCTCAGGGATGTCCTAACCAGACCAATCTAAAGAGAGAGGGATGCAGATGACACCGCCACACCTACCTGCTCTAGCTGACCCCAAACACCACCAGAGATGAAACAGGATTGGACTTCAACAATAGCAGCAAAAACAACAGCTCCAGTCCATCTTAACTAGCTTCTTCTTTTTTCCCCAATAGGCCAGTTATTACCATCTTTGATACATCTAAGAGACTGTCCAACAAGGGTTTTTTCCCCCTTCTAAAACTCTCTCCAGTAAAAGGAAGAAGGGATGTTGTTAAAATTAAAGCCTTACTTAATATTTTAACGTCTCAAATGCTTTAACTGTTTTTCCTTGTCTGTATCTTTAATAACTGGTTAAAAGGATATTGAATGGTGTGTTTGCCATGGCACTAAGCAGGCTGAGGTCTCTAGATACCAAACCCTGGATCTTGTGTAACACTATTTAATGTTGGACACTGACTGGGTTATTTTAACACCTTTGGTCCATATAAGCAACAAAGAGTCCTGTGGCACCTTAAAGACTAACAGATGTATTGGAGCATAAGCTTTCATGGGTGAATACCCACTTCGTCAGATGCATGTGGGCATTCACCCACGAAAGCTTATGCTCCAATACATCTGTTAGTCTTTAAGGTGCCACAGGACACTTTGTCGCTTTTTACAGATCCAGACTAACACAGCTACCCCTCTGATACTTTGGTCCATATATTTCAGCTAAATTAATACAATAGGACAACCCATAAAATAAAATAAATCTGGATCTATTTGAATTGAAAAACATTTTTTCATCAAATTGATGAGCTAAAAGAATCAACCAAAACATTTTGAGTCGACTCAAAACACTTCTTTATTTCCAGTTTAGCTGTTTCTGATGTTTTTCATCCTTTTTTGTTATTTTTTTTAAATTGGCCAAATTTTAAATTTTGAAAAGGTGACATAAAATGTTTTAAAATGATCAAAGTGAAACATTTGACTCTTTAAAAAAAAAAAAATTCCAAACCCAAACTATTTGTCAACGGCCCTCTAAAGTGCATTTTTTGACAAAAGAAGAAATAGAAAAAAAAATAGCCCCACTCTACTGATCAACTCAAATAATGCCCAACATTTAGCATATGTACAAACATTTTGTAAAACCCAAACTCAACAGAAAGGTTCTCGTGATAAAAAAATTCTAACAGAAAGTTGTTTTCAAATAAATACATTTTCTTTTCCAGTGCCTCAAAAAAAAACCTGCATTACTGAGAACCTGAAAGTAAATCTACCTATAAATAAATATGAAACTGACTTCATGAATACTCATTGTCCAAGCTGAGAGAAAGGCACAAAGTAAATAAAAAGCATAAAGAGTGAAGATAAAATTTAATTTTATATTATTCTTTCTGTTTTAATAACCTAAATATTTATGGGTAAGGAATTTTGTTTCCAATATATGATTTTTAAATTGATTGTCCCTTTAAATTGCCAAAGGGAAAAAAATGCCACAACCTTTTTTTCTGGATTTTTTTCTGTTTTTCTAACTGATGATTTCATTGTGCTAAACAACATCTCTTTTATCACAGCTCCAGTGTTTTGTCTTCCTACAGTGAGCTTTAAAGGTCAAGGAACTGGAGATATTGGAGAATACCCACCTCTTTGTGAGCACTTCTAATGATACAGTAAACACAAAAGAATAAAAATGTTGTTTTCAACAATAAGGGGAAAATTATCCTTCCTGCTATACATGCCAAATGTCTCAACCACAGAGTAGGCAGTAGAGATCTTCCTCAGGGATAAGAGATCACAGGAACACAAGAGAATCGTGCTGTTGGGAAGTGAACCACAACACAGAGATCCACATGGTAGATAAGAGAACTGAAATATGCAATAGAAAGACTCACTTTCCCCCATTTATGCAGTACAGTTACTTTTTGCATTTAATCTGGTTTGTGACAACTGACTGGTCATTTTAATTTTTGTTTCGAGTCACTTTGAATTTCTAATTCTCAGGCACTAGGATACCAAAGTGATGATAGTGGTCCAAACGCCCGGAGAGACAAACAGACAAATGTTGGGTAGTTCAGATTGCTGGAAAGGAATGTTTAAATAAAATAAATAAATAAATATGTAATCCCAGTTTTAGTTACTGTTTTAAAACGATTAAAGAATTCTGTATATTATAAGGGTTTTTTTACACACTTAAATAAATAAATTGTGAGACTAAAGCAATATTGACAGGCCCACCTTTTTAACAAATGCTAGTAATACTTTCCACTTATATACAACTTGAACCTGTGCCCGTTGAAATCAATGGAAACACTCCCATTGATTTCAGCGAGAGCAGGATTGAGCCCATAGTGAGCTGTAGCCGCGAGTCATAAAGCACTTTGCAAACACGAATAAAATTAACCGTCTCACTCTGAGGGAGGCACTATGGTCTAATAGATAAGGCACTGGACCATGACTCACAGGAAAAGGCCTAATGGGTGACCTTGGGCAAGTCGCTTCATCTCTGTGCTTCTGTTTCCCCATCTGTAAAAAGGGGATAATGGCAGTCACCTGAGCTTTGTGATCAAAAGCTAGGTATTATAACAGCTAGGAATTATTATTATTGAGGCAAGCGCAGTAGCTCGACTGCCTGTTATATTGTCTGTGTCTGCCTGCATAGAGACATACAGAGGACTAAGAACACCTCTTTTCCCCCTGTGTGGGCTACCCAGACGTTGAGTAAATTTCAATGCACCCG